TTTATCTGTGTGTATGCCTGCAGGCCAGAAGAGGGCACCAGACCTCATTACAGATGGTTGTGAGTCACCATGTAGTTGCTGGGAATTGAACTCAGGACCTTTGGAAGAGCAGGCAATGCTCTTAACCACTGAGCCATCTCTCCAACTCCCTCCACTCCATTTCTTAGTCCTGTAACCCTTGACTCCCATAAATCTGTTGTCTTCATAGGTTTGCTTATCCTGCTATTTTCCATAAATGAATCATACCAAGTGTGAACTTTTGAGTTTGGCCTATTTCATTTAGTTGTATTTTTAGGGTTCATCTGTAGCATGTATAATATTGGTATTTTATTAAATGGATCTAACACATTTGTTTATTGATAAGCATTTGGGTGGTTTTCTACTGTTTGGCTGTTATGAATAATAGTTCTTTCTATGAACGTCTATTTATATTTCCTTTTGTTGTTGTTTTGGGAACAGAATGTCACAGCTAAGCCTGGCCTCAAGTTCGTTATAAGGCCTAGGATGACCTCTGTCTCAACACTCGTGGCCATGTACATCTTTCCTGTGGACATAGGTGTTTTTAGTGCTGTTGAGTATTAGGGGTGGAAGTTGTGGGCTGTGGTTGCTCAAACGTTAGCTTTTTTTTAAAAACGTGTGTTTGTGTGTGTGTGTGTGTGTGTGTGTGTGCACTGTAGCGACTGTGGAGGTGATAGGACAACCTGCAGCAAATTCTCTTCTTCCATCATGTGAGTTCCAGAGATTGAGCTGCCTGCGGAGCCATCTTGCCGGTCTCTAAATTTATACTTTAAAGGGGAATTTTGACTTCTGTCACTCTTTATTGCTTTTCTAACATCTCCAAGCTTCTCTGCAGTTTATAAATTAACAATAAACAATAACAGTTTCTTAACCATTGCAGGTCTGTGCCTGTCACTCTGCATTGGCCATCTCATTCTAAAACCAAGCTGAAGAAGCTGTCCTTACACTGTCCTTACCTTATGTGCAGTCTCCTGCAGAAGTTGAGTGAGAGAGCTGGGGTTGTAAGTCAGTGGTAGAACACTTGCCTGCCATGCTCCAGGCCCTAGGATAAGTCATTTACAGCATGTTATTTTGGCCAAAGCAAGTAACTTCAGGCCAGAGTCAATGGATAATGAAATACAGCTTCCCTTTAGAGGTAGAAAAGTTCATGGAGGCGAGTAGGACTCACTCACATTAGTTCAGGGTGTGAGGTGGGTGATTATGAGCATTGAGGTAGTTTTCCTAATGCTTCTGATTCAGGAGAAGGCATGGCAGGGCTAACTGATACGAGGTGGTCTTTTTAGGGCCCCTGAGAAAAGTCTAAGAATACAGTGCAGGTGAAGTGCGTGTAGTGTCGTGATCCCACAGAGGGCCTAGTGAAGGACGGGCTGAATCAGTTCAGAGAGTCGGTGTATTTATGTCATTTTTTTGTAGTCATCTGAGCTTGTGAACAAATGACCTGACTTTAGTTTGATATTTTACTAGAAAGGTATTGCCAAAGGATAGAGTAAGAGTAGAGAATGGATTGGCCCTGTGCTCTAGAGTAATATAGGGAGGGAAATGAGTACAGGGGGGGAGCCTGCATGCACCTTGAGGTTGTCTGACAGGAGAGGAGGATTGGCATTTAGGGTGTCAGTTTCAAGTGATGACCAGGTCCAGCCAGGATTTCCCGTCTTAGCTCAGAGGAGTTGGGGTACAAGTTAGTGGTGTTGGAGAATTATGGAACTGTTGGAACTATTCTACATTGCAATATCCAAGGTGATACTTTCTCATTCCCTACTAGGCAAGTGTGATTGTGCCTGCTTTACTCCGTGTTTTTTTTTCCTAGTGTTTTGCCAGTGTATCTGATCATTCAGTTGGTAATTTATTGAATAAACAGGGAGAGAATTAAGAACTTGGTGTGGACAGGAGAAAGGTGGCCCAGATGCCAACATTGACTGGAAGAGTACCCAGGAGGCTGCTGGTTCACGCAAGTGCTGCAGCAGGCCAGCTTTTCACAGAACTGGCATTTAATGCTGGCTTCTGACTGCAAGCCCAGCTTGGGTAGCTGCCTTACACCCACTCATGTTATTTCTCCAAACACCTCGGGTGTCTTACAGTACGTATCCATGAGTTCAAAGATGCACCTACATTTTTGGTGAGGTAAAATGAGTTCTGCTTACCTCTTGGTAGGAATGCCCTAGAATTTATGACCTTAATCTACTGAACTTTGATTCTGTAGTTCAGCACCAGCAAAGTCCAGAGACCTTGGTGTACCTCAAAGATTTAGATATAAGCTTAATTAGGCTGCTAAATGTCTACAACAGTCTTGAATTCAACTCTCAAGTCTGTGGCCCTGCCTTCTGTCACCTTTATTAAGTCATCGCCTTGGGATATAGCAAGCTCTTGTAATTGTAATACTGACTTAGAAACTCCTGTGGCTAGCGCGTTACCTGGGTGTTTACTTGAAGCTCCTCAGGCTTGAGCAGCGTCAGCAGCTCCTCTGGGTTTGTCAGCATGTATGTCACCTTTTCCTACTGAAATATTTGTGTCAATTTTTTTTTTTTGGGTCTCAACTATGTCTTTCTGGCTGCCCTTGAACTCACAGAGATCGCCTGACTCTGCCTCCCAAGTACTGAGATAAAAGGTACGCACCACCTTGCCTGGCAGGCAGATATCTTGAAAGTATGGGTAGTAATGATATACAAATATTAGCAGTGATGAGTGATTTGTTAAGCTTTGAAAAGTTTTAAATTGTTCTTGGTGACCATGGATCCATTGAAACATCCAAACTTAAGAATCTAAATTGTGTTGGTGTGCTTTAATCTCAGCACACTGGAGGCAGAGGCAGGCGCATGTGTGAGACAGCAAGTTCTAGGCCAGCCAGGACTACATAGTGAGACCAAAAAGAAAGAAAGAAAAAGAAAGGAAGGAAGGAAGGAGATCTTAAGTTGTTACTGTATATAAGCAGCATTTATTATATGAGCAGTTTTATTGGTAACTTTTTTGTGGGGGTGAATGGGTGCAAGGAACAATCTCTATACCTTATGCATATATGGCAAGCCAGTGTGGTACTACTCTTTTAAAATATATATTTATTATGTATACAGTGTTCTGCCTGTATGTCTTCCTGTAGGCCGAAGGGCACCAGATCTCATTATGGATGGTTATGAGTCACCACATGGTTGCTGAGAATTGAACTCAGGACCTCTGGAAGAGCAGCCTTAACATCTGAGCCATCTCTCCAGCCCCAGTGGTAGTACTTTTGATGAAAAATTCTTTTGTGGGACCTAGAGCTAAAGAGTCCCTGCCTCAGCCTCTGGAGTGCGAAGGATTCCAGGCTTGTGCGTCCACACCGTTGTCCCTCCTGTGTTGCCGCATTGCTTGATATACTATGTTTATTCAGATTTGGCTTTGAGGCTTGGTTACATTTCCAGCCACCGTGGCTTCTGCTGATGCTTGATTAACCAGGCAGAGGACAGGATCCTTGATCTGCATTTTAGTAAGGGATCTTAGGACCAGGCAGATTTAGGAAATAATGCACAATTGTGTGTTGTGTAAAATGGAGTAAAAGCTGCAGCAGAAAATGGTATTGTTGTACCTAACTTTACAAAATAATATTTATTGAACAACTGAGATTTCCGTTTTATTTCTCTTTTACCCTGTTGTGTAGTTTGGCAGGAGAAATAGAATAATAGGGTTAGTCCTCCTTCACACCCCCCCCCCCCCCCCGCCAAGGGCAAAGGTGCATCCTAGGTGTTGATTGTAAGTGAGCTGTGTTAAAGTGATACTGAAAATGTCTTTATCTGAAAAGTTTGTTGTTAGGCTTAACTGGATGTGCAAGCACTTGAATTTGAAAGACGTATATGTATTTTGTTAGGGTACCTCTGAGTTTGGCTGCCTATAAGAACTGTTATATTTTAAACACAAATAATTATTCCTAGTAGGGTACAAACAAAGTTTCTCATCAAGAGATAAGCATTACTGTTGGGTACACATTTACTTTCCTGACTAATCTTTTCAAAAATTAAAGTACTCAACTTTGTCAGCTTTGATGTGTCTCTCAAAGGAAAGCCAATAACAGAGTAACTTTCCCCAGTGACTTTAAAGTCCCAGTGCTGTAGGTTATGTAGTAGACATAGAATCTCCTAGGCAGTATTTAAAAACTGACCAGTCAGACCCTGGTCCCATCATCGTATTTCATCGTTAGTCTGGTGTGCACTGTTCAAGAGATAGCTCAGCACCTTCTGGCTGAGACTCCTGCTTTGCATCATGGATTGCAGAAATTTATGGGAAGTCAGGCTAGGAGTTTTGCAAGCCTGAAATTTCCTAGACCTTTTGATATTAGAGTAGCAACCTCGAGTTGACTCCCTGGAGAGCAAAGCTCTGCGGTGCTGAGGTGGGATGTCCTGGTTCAGTGCCGTGGTGCAGAAGTCCTTCGGGGCAGTGAGTGGGTGTCAGTGAGTGGGTGTCAGATCGTTGCTTTGGAAGGAAATGACCGTGAAAAACGTTTTTGCAATGTCACACACTTTTCCATTTTTCACCTCCTTCCTTAAGCAAGCCCATAGGTCTCTACATCTCGCTTTTGTAGTGTATCGAAATAGAGTGCAGGGTGAAGCAGCCATAACTGTCCTCACAATGCCTGCTTTTCAGCTTGAAACACCATAGAAGTAGTTCAGGTTGATTAGTTTGAATGTATTTAATGATCTTTTCCTCCTATTACACTTGTATTTGCAACATACTACTCTTGTGGTAAATAGAATATGTGGGTGAAATGAATTTTCTAGGATAGTATGCATAGTCTGTGAAGAAAAAGATAAGATGTATTAATGTCTTACATATGTCAGAGTGGAAGAGGTTTTAATGTATCCAGAGAGTTCCTGACCACAAAAATGTACAGTTGTAGGATATTCTCACCTAATCAATGATCTTAAGGTTTTATTTAAAACAGTGTGCCCTAAGTAAAGAAATCAATTTTCTAAAAATGCTTTGATTTTCCATAGCAACTGGATTTGCAGTTTCGTGCCGTAAAATGGAACATGAAGTTAATATGTTATTCAGTGAACTCCTTGGTAGTGCGCAGTCTGAATACTCACTCAGGATTGTTATTTCTTCTCACCGTCAGGTGTAAAGATCTCTCTCTGTGTTACTGGAATCACTATTGGATGCTGCCCTCTGATGTTTGTGGAATGAACTGCTTTTGGGAAGCGGCTTTTAGGTAGGCCCTTAATATTTAATTGGTAGATCAGAGTAGGTAAGACTAGATAGGAGATGATCAAACCTTTCACTGTAATGAAACATGACTTTATTTTCCTATAATTTAGTATCATATAACTAAATAATTGATATACTGCTTGGGTTTTCTATTTATCTCCTAGTTATTACTAATTTTGATACATATTATATGAAAATGCTCGAAACTTTTTCTAAATGTCATTAAGCTGTAAGTTTTAGGAGAATATATGATTGACCTTTACTTATAAATTGATAAGTAGGTATAATTAGTTTGCTTTCTGTTGCTATGATAAAGCAATCTGACTAAACACAACTTGGGAGGAAAGGGTTGCTCTGTTTACACTTCCAGGTCACAGTCCATTCCTGCGGAAAGTCAGGAGGAACCATGGAGGTATGCTGTTTGCTGGTCGCATTCTTGCTTGCTCAGCTCCCCTCCTTATAGAATCTAGGCCCACCTACCTCATGATGCCTACAGTGCTCTGGGTACCACTTCAGTCCTGGAGACAGGCTTCCCAAACATGCTCATGTTCCATTCTGATCTAGGAGGTGGTTCTCTCAGGTAACTCGTAAGCTGTGTCAAGTTGACAGTCAGACTTACATAAGATAAGATGATGCAAGGCTTCTCCTAGACATTTACAGATAACATGCACATTCTGTATGTATGTGTGCATGTGCATTCATGTGTGTATATACATGAATACAGTTTCCTAATTTGTCAGTTTCCTAATTTAAAGGTAGGGGCTTTAATACTTTGTATTAAATGCCCAGTGTTTTTAAGTACTGGGGCTGATGAGATGGTTTCATCGGATAAAGACACTTGCTGCCAAGCCTGCCATTGACCAGAGGAAGATAAGTACAATGATCCTTTGGCCTCCATGTGTGTACTGTGTGTGCACACCCGCCCTAAACAAAATGTCCGGAAACCAAAAAGCTAGTATACTAAAAACACATTTTGTAGGGGATGAGACTGTCAAGGAAAGATTATGTTAGCTTTAGCCTAGAGGCTTGTAAGGATGTGGAGGATAAGAACATCCTTACTGAAGGAGTAAAAGAAAAGACATTATTTACTGCCTTTTAAAGTCACTGTGTGATGAAGAAGATTTTGGACTAGGGCCTGTGCTGCTCTTGCCTTCAGAAAGAGAATCAAGTGTTGTAGGCAGTTGCTCTCCTGAGGCAGTAGTGGTGGAGAATGTGGGAATGACCTGATGTGCCTTTCTCAAGAGCAAAAACAGTTCAAATGTTTTTGCAGTATCTTTATGGTTAATTTAAATTCTCAGTCGGTTTGCCAGTGACTATGCCGGTTACCACATTCTTTTTCTTTCTTTTTTTTTTTTACAATTAAAAAAATTATGATTGCATCATTTCCTTGCTGTGTACCACCCCTCCTAGCTGCCTGCCCCTCGCTCTCACCTCAAATTTATGGCCTCTTTTTCTACACACACACGCACACACACACACACGTATGTATGTATGTATGTATGTATGTATACACCCTACTGAGTCCACTGAGTAACTTGTATGCATATGTTTTCAAAGATGGCTACTTACTACTGGAGAACCAACTAGAGGGAAGAATTAATTCCCCAAGTCTTCCTTGGGGAAGACTTAATTCTTCCCCTTTCATCAGTTCTTCATGCCTGTAATACAAGCTGCAAATTTTTTTGTTTTGTTTTTTGTTTTTTTTTGAAACAGGGTTTCTCTGTAGCTTTTGGAGCCTGTCCTGAAACTCTGTCTGTAGACTAGACTGGCCTTGAACTCACAGAGATCCACCTGCCTCTGCCTTCTGAGTGCTGGTATTAAAGGCATGCACCACCACCTCCTGGCAACAAGCTGCTTTCTTAATATTTATAATAGTATACATAAAGTCTCAAATTCTCAAATATGCATCCTATAAGCAAATGGCAAGGGTTCATTGATATCAGGTTTTCTCTCTGTGTGGCAGACGTCCATGTGTTGGTCCCAGGCTGTGTTTGGCTTGTAGGCTCATGTAGTCTCCATGTTTCAGCCTTTCAAGTAGCTGGAGCCTGCAGCGGTAACATTAGGCTTTTGAATTTGAGATTTTAAGTCATACCCCTCTTTTACACTTTCTGCTTGTAATACTGTATCTGTTTGAATACAAAATTAAAAACCATTTTGCATTATGTATCATTATCATTCTGTAAAATATCTTAAACTCAGTTTCTTTTTTCTTTTCTTCTTTTTTAATGTATACAAGTGTGCCTAGTGCTCACAAAGGCCAGATGGTAGGGTGTCAGATTCCTTTGAACTGGAGTTATAGGTGGTCATGAGCTATCTAATATGGGTGATGAAAATGAGCAGACACTCTGAACTGCTGAGCCATTTCTCCAGCCCCTAAACTCACTTTTTTATGTAGAACTAAATCTCCCTCTTTCAGTAACCCTGTATGAGACAGACAGCAGAAATGACAGATGCCGTGTCATGTTCACCCTGTTTTAGTTTTGTGTGTGTTCTGTGATTCTGCATGCAGGTGCATGTGCTCTGCCGTGGTGGAGATCAAAGGGTAGTCTCGGGTGTTGGTCCTTATCTTTTCCCTTGTTGATGCAGATTCTGCTGGTTTTCTACTGTATACAGTGGAGACATTCTTGGATTCTCCTGTCTGCTTCCACAGGAGGAGGCTAAGACTCTCTCCTTTCACGGGGCCTTCAGGGATTGAACTCATCTTGGCAGGTTTGCCTTCAGGCATGTTTAACCACTGAGCCATTCCACTGGCCCCCATCTTTTGTGTCATGATAGTTTTGTTTGGTTTTGCAAAATGACCCTTAGTTTGGATTTGCCTGGGTCTTCATGAATGAATTAAGGATTTGGTGTCGCTTTTGGCCTTTGCTCATGGTATCATAAGGGATTAGCTGATACCATAAACTTATTGTTGGCTAAGTTTTATCACACGGTTCAGGTCCTGGACTCTCATTTCTGCTCTGTAGTAGTCTCTGTGTCCTCTTTGAAATAGGTGTGGGAAATACCCTGGTTTTGGCAAAGTAATCATCATGGTGATTCTCTTATTCTGTGTTTGTTGGCAGACTTGGAGTTTTTCCCCTTCCCCTTTTATTTAGGTTTACTCATGGGTTCAATTTTTGATTTTTATTATGTTGATCATTAGTGTCATATGTTTTTGGTTTTTTGTTGGTGGTTTTGGAGACTGAACCAGAGTGAGCTGGGCAGGAGCGTTAGCACTGAGAATACATTCCAGCTCTTCCTTTCTTTGTGAGCCTCGGCTCCTCGAGTATAAGAGAGCATTGGAAATGAGAGAGGATCTGTGGAAGACCCCCAGCCACTGCTCAAGCAAGGAAAGGCATGACTGTTGACCCTGCTTAGGGCCCTTAAGAGGTGCCAGTGCACTGAGTTTGGGACGCCCTCTACAGTGATGGCAAATTGCCTAAACCTCTCCACACAGTTTACAGATTCCCCTCTGTCTTAGTGTCATTTCCTGTTGCTGTGATAAAAATGTCCCCACATAAACAATTTAGAGGAGAAAGGGCTTATTTGGCTTCCAAATTTCAGGTTATAATCTGTTGTGGGAAGTCAGGATGTCAGAACCTACCCACACCCAGTCAAGAATAGACAGCGGTGAATTAATTTGTTCATGCTAGTGCTTGGCTTGTTCTCACCTTCTTACTGAGCCTTGGGCCCAGTTAATATGCTGCCATATTAGGGTGGGTCTTCCCAGGTCAGTAAACCCAGGTAAGAAACTCTCACCGGGCATGCCCCAGGCCAGCCTACCCTAGACAGTTTTCCTAATGAAGACTTCCTTCCTTTTCATGGTACATCCTGTCAAGTTGACAGTCAAAGTCAATCATTACAGTTCAGACAATCTTCTAGTCAATAGCTTACAACACAGTAATTTTAGCTGTCCCTAGAATTACTTGGGGTGAGGTTGGAAGGATCGTTGATTAAAAACTAAAACTGGGTGGGAAGCCTGCCAGAGGGAGCCTGCCAGAGGGAGCCTGCAGCACAGTCTAACACCTTTGAAGTCCAGGGTGACTGAGCTGCTGCCTCTGTTTGTGGGTTGTCTGAGGGATCCTGCTGGGCATCAGGACTGTGTGCCTAGCTCCCACTTGAGGCCATTCTGAGAGGTGTCTGTCCCTCTCCTCACGGGCAGACAGTGCTGTGCTTCCTTCTTAACTTATGCTTTAGTGAATTATAAGAGCACTCTGGTGTTCTTTGAAGTATCTAAAGATTTCTTGTTGTCAGGTGGGAAAGTAGATGTGATTTCAAAATTCTTTTTGGGTAAGATTTCTTATCTCTGCAGGGATTTTAGTTAAGATAAAGCACAGTTTAGCAAACCGTGATGAAGAATCTAATGTTCATTCCTTTGGGCCAGAATGACTGGAATGGCTGTTTCCACATGAATGCTTAGGAAACTTTAGTCACCAACTCCTGCAATCTAGAAGCTTGCTTAAGATTTCTTCTAATCTTCTGCAATTGTCCTTTCTGTCCTTGGTGTTACGGGGTCAGGAACCATCTCCCCATCCACAGGCTGATGTTCAAATGAAGACTTTTTAAAAACCATTGTGAGCAATAGGATCTGAATACACTTAACAGGAAGATGAGAGAATTCTCTAGAACTGTGTGCCTTGATTGTCTTCGCTGTGTTTTATCGCTTCTGCTGTTTTGAGATGAACTAAATTTATGTTTCCTTGTCAGAGTGTAATGGTACCCATACAGTTTCTATTAGGAATGTTAGCGGATATGAGGGAAGGGATTAAGGGAACGGATAAGGGAGAAGGCACCACTCTGTCCAGTTCCTTCAGTGAAGCAGTGTGGGAGCTTTAAGACTGGAGCTCATGCCCACACCAGAGGGAGGAAAGGGCTCTCCAGCCTGCATACTACTGCCCTGTTAGAAGTGAGTTCCTGCCTAGGCAGAAAGGGGAACTGAGGAGATCATTCCTTCAAAAAAGATACGTCAGTGTGTGTGAGGTCCTTTTAGAACTCTCTCCCTATCTTGGTGAGTACTTGGTGAGTGGAACTGATACATGCCACTGAAAAAGTTACCTGAGCAAATTTCTTGTGATGAGCCTGGCTTATGACAGGATGTAACATGGAAATATTTGTGGATGAGTTGTGACTGACTTGCTTCATAATGATCTGATTGTGGGGTGGGGAAGGCATGTGAAGGGGCTTTAAAGGGAATTGGAAGAGATTTCAATGAAGAACTATAGTTTTCAATACTTGAATGGGGGCCTTAGAGTACTTAGGCTTCCTTTCTTGACACCTGGTACAGGGACGAGTGAAGTCAGTTGTATGTTCTTGAGAGAATTGCCTCATGAGGTGTGTTGCTTGTGGAAAACTGGTGGAGAGGAAGGCATACGATTGGGTGATGGAGTCAGCATTGTAATGTTTTGCAGCTTGATACTTCTTTTGCATTTTAAAAAGAAGTTGTAAACTTCTGTTTCTAAACATGATAAAAATACCATTTAGTAGTAATTACATGCTAACCTGTTGGAAATGCTCTCTTCTTTGCTATTAGGTATAGTCTGAAAACGCAGCCCACTGAGAAAATGCACCTTGCTGTTGTTGCCTGTGGTGAAAGACTGGAGGAAACTGTGACTATGTTGAAGTCAGCTCTCATTTTCAGCATCAAGCCTCTGCAGGTCCATATTTTTGCTGAAGACCAGCTACACGATAGCTTTAAAGACAGAGTAAGTACTTAACACACAGTAAGGACTTGAGATTTTAGGATAGTCTGTACCAGAACTGTCTGCTCGGCAGCCTTCCCTCTTAGGGAGGGTGCTCTCGAGGAGTCCAGATAGAGTGTAGAGGAAGATTGGATTTTGAACAAGAATAGGCAACCTAAGGGGGCTGGAGAGATGGCTCAGAGGTTAAGAGCATTGCCTACTCTTCCAGAGGTCCTGAGTTCAATTCCCAGCAACCATATGGTGGCTCACAACCATCCATACTAAGATCTGGTGCCCTCTTCTGGCATGCAGGTAGACATACAGACAGAATATTGTATACATAATGAATAAATAAAATATTAAAAAAAAGAATAGGTAACCTAAGTCCCCTGCCAAGTCTGAAGATTTTATTTGCTTATGTTCCGTGGTAGTTCTTCATCTTTAAGGAGGGCTCTTGTTTTTTTCTGGCTGTGGTCAGGCCATTTTCAATATAGGACTCTACCTCATGGTTTAAAATGGCCATTCAAACTCCAGCCATCACAACCATATTGTATCCAGTATAAGGGAAAGAAAGAGGAAGAAAGAAAAATGCTTTTTTCCTAACTTTAAGGGTGTACTTTGCATTAATAGTTGAGACTTTTTTCTGTTTGGTATGAGTTTAGTTATTTGATTGTAGCTGACTGTTAGATTTGAAAATAGACTATTCACCCAGGGCAGCCTTGGACCTGCTAATAACAATTGCCCATGAGGAATTAGGGGATACGTAAAGAAAGATGACCTGCATCTCCTAGCTTTGTGTTCCGGGGGGTCGAGAGGATACTTGTGTCTCTCATTCCATCCCACCCCACTCACCTCTCTGCTAAGCCTTGCTTTCAAGCTGCTGTGGATGTCTGTGTTTGGTCTAACTATGTGTAAAGATTCTTTGTTTTCCAAGTTAAATTAGTTCATTTCCATGTTGAAGAAAAAATGCCATTTGCAGCTTTTTAATTTTTGGCCAAGAGCTTTAAATTCTAGGAGGTATAAGCGGTGTGCTTACACTTTAAATACTTGTAGTCATCTCTTTTGTACCCATCATCTTATTCTCTTTATTCAGATTGTTTCTTAAAGTATAATTTGCTTTTGTTTATGTTTTGTTGTTGTTTTGAAACAGGTTTTCGACTGTGTGACCCAAGCTGGCCTTGAACTCCTGTTGATTCCCCTGCCCCAGTTTCATGAGTGCAGGGATTACGTAGGCCTGAGGACCACACCCAGCTCTGTAACCTTTTCTAGTTAAACGTTTGGCTTTGATTTTGATGAAAGAATATTAGATATATCTATATCTATATCTATATCTATATCTATATCTATATCTATATGATGGACCAAATTGCAAAATATTCCAATATTAAATGAAAAATGTCAAAGACTTCATTTTGAAGTTATTATTGAAAAGATCTTTAAGTGATCTGTAAGTTGAAAGGGAAAATGAAATTATTGTTCTTTCAAAGTAGTTAACAGGGACATCAAAGCAGGGTGTCACAAAAGTGCTCTTTAACTTTGTTGGAAGATACTTATGCTTTTTGAAGGGCTTGAACACAGTTGTACTTCAAAGGGAGATTTTCAGTTTGGTGTAGACTCTACCCCATATTCCTTTGGTCATTTCTGTTGGTGTAGACTCTACCTCATCTCCTCCTGGTCATTTCTATTGGTGTAGACTCCACGCCATCTCCTCCTGGTCATTTCTGTGTGCTCTTGGGTAATTTGAACCAACAATTCTAAAGCTGGACCTGTTGGCCTGTGCTCATCATTCCAGTTAATCAGGAGATTGAGGCAGGAGCCCGGGATTTGAGCCTTGCTTCTGGGGAGCGACGGCTCCTTGTTTCCAGCTGCGGTAGCTAAGCTGTCGGGATGATGTGCTGTTAGAGCAACAGTGGTAGGTTATGTTTAACTGAGTCTGGACCAAGGCAGTGCTTTGAAGTGAGTTTAGGACATTAAAGAGGAATACTCGTTACAGATTTTTAAAAAAAAAAATATTTTGAGGGCTGGAGAGATGGCTTAGAGGTTAAGAGCATTCATTGCCTGCTCTTCCAAAAGTCCTGAGTTCAATTCCCAGCAACCACATGGTGGCTCACAACCATCTGTAATGGGTCTGGTGCCCTCTTCTGGCCTGCATACAGACAGAATATCGTATACATAATAAATAAATAAATAAATATTAAATATATATATTTTAATAAATATTATACACACACACACACACACACATATATATATAGGGTCTCTAATGGTTTTTTAAAATTGACACTAGGTAAGTATTTACCAGAATAGTTTATTAGGAATACCAGGGCACATTTAAACTTTACAGAAGTGGACTAAACTGGTGATATATTAGTTTGACACTTAATATAAATATTTTTGTATCATATACTATCGTAATATGTATTGAGGGGCTGCGGGCAGGCCTGCTTTTCATCCTGCCCGGCTCCCGCATAGCTAGCTTAGCCCCAGAAATAACAACACACAAATT